AACATTTGAGCCACGTGAAAATTCACAATACTCTTCATCAGCATTGTAACTTATGTGATCAGGATCGAAACCGGAACGTGATCGAATATGGCGCACAAACCATTTCGTGCCACTTCTTTCCACACACATTAGCCAGCGGTATTTTATACTTCGTTGCCACTGCTGCCTTCGTCTGTTCAATTGAATTTTGTTTACCTTCTATACGCTGATCAATTTTATTAACTAATGCATATAGATACGACGAACCATCAGTGTCTCTATATTCACGTATAGTTTCGATATCTTCCTGGAGTTTTGCTTCATCGGTGGAATCTGATCCAATGAATTTAACTGCAACTAATATTAGTGTGGCTCTTTGCAGTTGTGAAATAACAATTTGTCTTAAGTGAGCGGATAAATTGCTATCATTCGGTCCTGATGTATCAATAATTATCAATTCACCTTTTGGAATCGAAAATGAATGAGGTAGTGGCACTTTTAGACGAGGTAGGGGTGGCGCATTTTCTTTACTGATGCGTTACTTTACTGAGTAAAGCAACGCTTTCAAATATCATCGTATGAGTGACGAACAACCGAAAATGTATTGTTTTATCACCTTCCGGACACAATGCGACTAAAGCGTTACTATATTATGCGTTACTGGTAACGAGTAACGCATGCGTTATTGCGTTACTGGTAACGAGTAACGCAAGCGTTACTGCGTTACTAGAAAAGTAACGCAAAAAAGCGTTAAAGTAACGCAAATAACGCTGCGTTACTCGTTACAAAAGCTATGAAAAATAAACGCATGCGTTACTCGTTATCAGTAACGCAATAACGCATGCGTTACTCGTTACCAGTAACGCAATAACGCATGCGTTACTGCGTTACCTGTAAAGAAACGGTAAAGCGCCACCCCTAAGACGAGGGATCCACGTAGAATTGATTGTGTTTTCTATATTTAGCATAATTGATATACGCACTACATCATTAATATATTTTAGACTATCCACGATTTTTAAATTTCCATATGTTGTTGCTTCTAAAGTCATTAGTTCATTCGTAGATAAATTATTCATCATTTTAATTAAATCTTCGTCGTTCCGCAACCGGTTTTCTAAGTTACGTTCGTTACTTTTTAATTTCAACTCTCTGCCAATATTATTTATGGTAGTTATTAGTTCTGATTTTAATATTAACTGTGGCTGTTCAGTATGCCGACTGAATGACATTTCTGTCGGCAACGTTGTCATAGCTGTATTTCTCGATGGTAGTAACTCATAACCCATAATTGCATTTAATATTGTTGATTTACCAGCCTTCATGGTACCCACAATGGCCATACGTACTTCTAACTTTTCAACTGATTCGATTTCATGCCGAAAAAGATTGCAGTATAGTGTTAATTTGTTCAATGTAGATTATGATGGTAGTGAGTCTGTGTTTAATGGTTTATCTATGTCAAATAGCTTCTTTTCGCACGAACGAAATGTATATAATGTTTCATTAAACAGGTTTTCAGTAATAGAAGTCGATAATGTCATACCTGCACAGCTTTCAACAACAGCGGTAATAGGAGTAACCATTCTCAAGTTGCTATACGAGAGTATTACTGTATCGAGGTATAAATAATAATTTTCTAAATGGGCTCTTTATATCCTGACACTAAAGTTAAACTACGCCTCTAAAGAAGACACAAAATAAAATGGTGTTTGTCGCTGTTATAATGTAAAAGGTGTTTTAGCTGTTATCTTTTGGAAAAATGTTATCTGTGAACGTGAGTAATAATGATGATGAAATCTCTCTTTTTTTGCGTATACATAATAACTAGGTAGAAACTAAGAACAGATGAAAGAAGATTGTTGTTTGCAACGTGAAGAAAACGTGTTGCTTGCACCACTTTTACATGGGAAGGCGTGGAACGTTCCATATATTTTTAGTAGTACCAAACGATACATACAGTCAGCTATCGCACATATATAAATTAAGCAAACCTGTATGTACCAACTGTACAAACTCACGGGTTTGTGTACAGTTTCGCTCAGGAAGTTAACAACTAACCGTGTACAGGGTTTGTTTTCATCATTTTCTTCTTGTTCCAAAATATCCATTGTGGTAGCAGGCGTTTGCAGGGGTTCTTGTTCATTTTCATTCAGAGTAATACTTGATCTCGTTTTTTCATGCGAAGAAGATCATTGATGTTGTTGATATGAAACCGGTGTACTAGAATCCATTTCTGATTGTGTATTCATCTGTTGTTGGTGTGTGGAAAGAAGTGGCACGAAATGGTTTGTGCGCCATATTCGATCACGTTCCGGTTTCGATCCTGATCACATAAGTTACAATGCTGATGAAGAGTATTGTGAATTTTCACGTGGCTCAAATGTT